TACTTCTTTTTTTTTTTTTCCAGTCGAAGAATGTAACCGAATAACCGTCAATTAAAAGGATTTGGAGAGGAACTGAAATCTGTAAACAAGAACAAACTTTCTCCCTCTCGCCTATCGTTAGAAAGCAGCTCAGAGGCAGTAAAGTATCTAACTGACACGGCACAATCACACTCAGCTACAGAGACCTGGTGAAGGACAACTGGGTGCAGGATTCACAAGTGCGAATTTCACTTTAAGCTCCCACACAGGGGCGTAACTACAAAACATGGGGCCCCATAGCAAAATTTTAATAGGGCCCCATGGCAAACCCTTTAAAATCTAAATCACGGACGGGTAGCAGGAGACCTGTCTGCCTAGTCTCTTCCTGTACATCTGATATGAACTCTTCTTGATTGGAAATGCCATAAGGGATACAGGGTAAACAGCAATCCTTCATGGGGCCCACCTTCCACCCCCCAGGCCCCATAGCAGCCGTGTAAGCTGCTATGGCTATTGTTACGCCCTTGCACCCACATCCCCCTTACAAATATCTCTTAATTTCTTACAGGAAACCTGTGGCTATCCGACAAAGTTTAAAGACTTGTGGTGGTCAGGTGTATACTTTTGGTCATATGTGTAGGTGCATCCAGAGAGAGACATAACACTAGGGTACAATATAAGTGTTATGCCGCAACATACCATGTTTCCCCGAAAATAAGACCTACCCCGAAATTAAGACCCAGTTGTGACCATTCCCAGGGCCGGTGGCGGCATATAAGACCTACCCCGAAAATAAGACCTAGTGTGTTTTTTTGAGCCATAAAAAATATAAGACAGTGTCTTATTTTCGGGGAAACACGGTAGCAAGGTGGAGCTAAAAACCTGAAAAAAAGGCAAAAACAGGGACAATAAATGTAAAAGCTGCAAGCGGGTGCATGCAAGTCAAAGAGAGTCATCTGAAAGTAGAAAATCCCTTTAAATTTGGGACACATTGATGTAGTGGTTAGCGCTTCTGCCTTGTAGCACTGGGGGGTCCCCGGTTTGGAGTTTGCATGTTCTCCCTGTGCCGTGCGGCTTACCTCCGGGTACTCTGGTTTCCTCCCACACAGGCCCGGCGCTACCGCAAGGCAAGTCAGGCGGCCGCCTGAGGGCGCTGCAGGGTGAGGGAGGCCCAAACAGTGCATTTTGACAAGTACTTGTACTTGTCAAAATGCCCCGATGTTTGCGCTATGTTTTTTTTTTTTTTACTCTGAAAGTTGGCCCTCTATGTATGTGAGATAGGGACCTTAGAGTGTAAGCTCCTTGAGGGCGGGGACTGATGTGTATGTGCAACTATGTAAAGTGCTGTGTACATTGTTGGCGCTCTATAAATACCTGAAATAAATAAATACTTACAGCATTTCTGACACAATAATACTCCATTAAATTCAACCTTTCACAACCCAACGCCAGGTGACTGTTAGTGGCACCCCAAGCGAGAAACATGCAAAAAATACACATCCGTGACCTTCTTAGCCATGTTTGTGGAGCTTGGGGCAGCCCATTGAATGAATGTGAGAAGTAGAAGCAAGGACTTGGATCGGGTAATTGGCAAAAGGCCCAAAATTGCCTAAACTTGGCAACTCTCCACAAAGCGGGTGGCCGTCCTGTGTGGGGGTCGCCCAGCATTAAAAAAATCCACATGTAGTTGAACCAAAAAGCACATGTGTCAAGACGCATGTGTTTTGTCCTTCTGACGAGCAAACAGTATCAGATAATAGTTGCCTATCACAACATGTGCTAAGCAGGCCCCATTACCGATAACACGGCGCTCCACTTGTGGGATTGTTTGCCGAGGAACTCCATCCCAGCCGACAGCTGATAAGAGCGCACCACGCAGCAAAAAATATCCACCTTGTCCAAAGTCAATATTTATCGCAGCAAAGCGTTATCACACGCATGTCCCAGTCAATACAATTCAGAGGCCAGCTAATAATAGATTTATTTATACATTGTAGCGTCCGATCAGCAGAGAGCGTATTTATAAATAGGCAATCGATCCATTTACTGATCACCGGCTGCTGGACGCCTGTATAAAGATTTGGCGCATTACAAAGATTTCTCTGTGTCTCCGTCTGCTTGAGTTTACTATGACAACCACCTTCATTTCTCATCCCGCATGCTGGAAAATGTATCCTCATGTCTGCATACCAAGGATCGCTTTGTATGCATTGCAGAGACAACGGACTTTGTGGAAACTCAGTAAAAGCTTTTAGCAAGCTTCAAGCCCGAACCCAAGAACAAAACTGTAATATATTCAGGGCCGGATTTACTCTCTCTGCTTCCCCAAGGCCAGGCTCCTCAATGCGCCTCCCTACCTGAC